TGTTTTTCCTCAAATGAAGTGACTCAGTAGAGGAAAATATTTTTTTTAACTCTAAAACACTCCATAAGTATTGATTAATAGTAGTAACTTTTAGATTGGCTTTCAGATCTATATTTATGACAATTTTATGAATGAATCATAGAAACTTCAAACTTTTTGTTGTTTATTTATTTTTGAGAGAGAGAGAGAGAGAGAGTGCAAGTGGAGGAGGTGCAGAGAGAGGAGGGGACAGAGGATCCAAAGTGAGCTTCATGCTGACAGCAGCAAGCCCAACTAGGCTCGGACTCATGAACATCGAGAACATGACCTGAGCCAAAGTTGGTTGCTCGATCAACTGAGCCACCAAGGTGCCCTGAAACTTCGAACTTTTTTAAAGCACAAATGCCCCATCTTGCTATTTTCTTGCCCACTCCTTCACCATCCAACACGTCACCCCTCCCCCACCATGGGACTGAGACCCAGGTGAGGAGAGTGGGATCAAGTCATGCAAAATGAAATAACACATGTGCAGAGGCAGATCCTGTCTTTATTTTAAAATTATACTATGTTCAGCATGGATATTTTTGCACTAATTTTGATCTTTCAAAATGTTGCATTAAAATATTATCTTGATTACTGAATTTCTTGACATCTTAAATTTTACAACTGAGAAAATTGCCTCTCTCATCTCTCCCTAGTTCTTGTCCTCCTCTCTTGCAAATCCATCCCCTTCCCCCACAACCTCTCATAGCCCAAGTCTAACCCTGGTTGTATCAGTATATTTTGAAAAGGTTATGTGCATCTGATGTAATCCCAGGTTTAGACCTGCTACAGAAAAGGAGGAAAGCTCTAATAGTGTCATTTTTAGAGGAGGACCTATAGATTGATATTGATCCTCCAGAAGGATTTCCAGGTCCCTTTCAAAAAGTAATTCTTTTTTTTTTTAAGGTTTTTTTTTGTTTTTTTGTTTTTTTTTTAATTCTGAGAGACAGAGAGAGAGAGCACAAGTTGGTGAGGGGGAGAGAGAGAGAGGGAAAGAGAGAATCTCAAGCAGTCTCCATGCTGTTAGTGCAGAGCCCGACATGGTACTTGAACCCACAAACCTCCACAAACTGTGAGATCATAACCTGAGCCGAAACCAAGACCTGGGTGCTTACCCAACTGAGCCACCCAGTAAGAAAAGTGTGATGGTTTTAAATTTTCAAATGACATAGGAAGCTTTTAAGCTAATTATACTTTTTTTTTCCTTGCTTTGTTTACCACCCTTAGAGAAGACTCAGGTAGAAGGGGTGGACACAACAGAGATAGGGAGGCATAAAGACAGTGGCACAGTTTGAAGGCATCTTATAGGATTAAAGTGTGTGATGTGTTTTTTTGGAGAATGAACCCAAAGCCTTTGGGCTTATGACTCACAGACTCATGCTATATTAAAGCCTGACTAGCAACATGAGTCTTGATGATTCAAGATAAGTTGAACATTTATATTTTCTAGAGTACCCAGTGTAGTGCAGTTGAAAAGAATACTACAGTCTGTCTTCAGTGCAATCTGGGTTCCTGGTCCCTTCATTTGCTCAGATGAAGACCCAAGATGGTTTAACTAAACCTCTTAGTGTTCTGTGTAGAACATTAAAGTTAGAGTCACACTATCTGGGTTCAGAACCCAGTCCTTCCCTTGGTTCCTGCATCAGTTTTGGCCTCTCTCTGAACCTTAATTTCCTCATTTATAAAGTGATTGTAGCAATTCTTCCTTAGTGTGTTATGTGCCCATGTCCATAAAATGACATGATATCTGGAAGGGCTGGCATGACCTAATATGATAGTTATTCAATAACTTTGTAGTCATTAATCTGTCTAAACTATGTCAAGAGCTGTTTACACATTTATAATTAATTTTTTTAAGGTAAGGGATCGAAGCAGGCAAATTTTACTTGCCTATTAGCTATTAATTGTTGTACACAATATCTAAGACTTTATAATAATTCTCATCATATAAATATTGGAGGCAAGCAGCACAATAGAATAATATCCTAGGGATTCAGGACATGAACATTTATATATGAACATGGATTTAACAATTCAATTTTCTCATTCAACTGCAACCTCAGTCTCGAATGAATACAATGATTAGGACACATTGTAAAACATTAATTAGTAGAATGTAGACCATTTAATTAATTATTCTGGAAGAAGTATCATTTTAAAAGGAAACACAGCTAAATGAAAAACTAAAACTTCTTTTCAGTCTTTGTGATTGAAGTTTGAAATGTTTTTATCTTTTATCTTTTATCTTGAGGTACTAAATCAAACTTCTCGGCTTGAAATACAACTGCTAGAGAATTCATTATCAACATACAAGCTAGAGAAGCAGCTTCTTCAACAGACAAATGAAATCTTAAAGATTCATGAGAAAAACAGGTGAGGATTGTTGTATTCCAAATATTTACAGGTGTACTTATTTTTATCCTTCACCTTTCTGTCAACACTTAAAAAAAAAGATTGAGGTGGTTTGCAAAAATGGAAATATAGAGGCAATATAAGAAGAATAATACTGTTGCTTACACTCTTGAAACATTTGCTTTTTATAACTTTTAGCACTAATTTATCTAATGTTTAGTTGTGCAAATTCTACCATATCCACAAAAATTGATTCTATGATTGAATTCAGTGACACAAAATAGTGACAGTTTTCAGCAGGATGAAATCTGTAGCAATAGAGGAAAAAACTAGTCTCTGAAACTCTATAACTTGAATTGTCACTCTATCTGCCCTTAAACTTTCACAAAACTACAAGATTGTTGAATTCAGAGATCTTGCACTAGAGAGAAGCAGATTTTATTTTTCCCAGAAAATTATTTACGTGTAAAGCTAATTTAAGAGT